TTTAGGAGGAAGTAAGCATTCCAAGTGATTTGCAAATCTCATGTGGCTATTGCAACCATTATTTGGGAACGCTTAAGGAATTAATGTCCACAAATATTTTAAGTCATTCCTGTTTGGAGAAATTTGACAATGTATCATTGGACTTGGAAAATAAAAAAGTATGGGGTCTTAATGCTGAAAAACACAAACATAATGTTAATATTAATACTCTTGAAGATCCAATTCCAGGATCTAGCAAACAAACAGATACAGCTATTCAAAAAGCTGCTGCTGCTGATGATACTATTGATAGTGCTACTGTACATTTAAATTTTGTTGGTAAAGATTTTTGGACTTATGAAGCAACCAAATTTTTAATAACAACTTATAAAGAAAACACATAAATTTGATTCTCCTCAATATAACAAAAAAGCAGTATGGGAAATTATAAGTGAGAAAATGAAAAAAATAAAAATTTATAAATATGGGGAAAAGTGTTCTGAAAAATGGAGGAATTTAAAGAAAACGTATGAAAAAACATTAAAGGAAAAAAACAGTACATGGAATTCAGGGGTAATTATTGGATATTTTTCAATGACTTCCACGAGATATTTTTTAAAGATCCTCATTACAACCCAATATTCTCAATTAATAGCACAGGCTCTTTTAAAAAAAGAAATTTGACCGAAACTCAACTGGAAATTTTCTCAAATGAAGAAGGTAATGAAGAAAACTCGAAAAAAAAACATCAATGACCAAAAATTAAAGTGTTGCGAGAAGTTTCACCAAAAAAGATAAAATATACATCTACAGATATTGAGAATAGAAGGCAAGAAAGACACACTGAAAAAATTAAACAAAAACAGGAAATATTTGAGTGGTTTAAAGAAAACTTTAAAAAAGAGTAGGTAATAAAACAGTTTTTGATGTTTATGAAAATATGCAAATAATGTGTTATTTTCTAAGGTGATTAAGATTTATTTGTGTTCCTATATAGAGTTGTGTTATGTTGTTTTCTGTTTTAACTGATGTTACAGCCTGGAATATAGGTACAAAAAAATTAAAAAGGAAGGCTATATAGGTTAAGGCACTAACTTGAAGAATTATTGCTGCAAAGTTCTTTCTGCAAATATATGATAGCTCATTTTCTTTTGGTGTACATATGGGAATATAACACCCATCAAGAGCACCAACTGTATTTGGAAAACCCATTTCATTGAAAGAATTTTTGACTGTTTCTAAATAATCATCAAGAGGCCATCTGATCATTGAGTCAGAAATGCTCAAAATTGCATCAGTTACTCTTCTAACTGTTCTCAAAGCCGTTGCTTTCCCAATGTTAAAACGACTACAAATTGACCTAAAACAAATTAAAAAAATATATATTATGGTAATTTTATGGTACAATACTATAAAATATAAAATACCTTCAACTTTATAAACATCTGTTTTATTTATTAATGTGAGTTTGAATTAATGATTCTATTTAATTAGTCCAATTTATAACAAAGTACCTACAAGATGCATACCTATAACAATCAGGTGTGGCAAAATACCATACAGTAAAAAGCAATTGATTTTTTGCAGAAACAGGATTTCTTCCCATAATATTATTAGGAATCAATTTGTCCCTAAGGAAAGAATATGGTCGAAAGTTGGTCTAAACATTCGAAAATTCTCTCGAAATTCACCATTACTATACAAGTCCACTACTTCTGAATTCTTGGCCTTAATACTAAAAAAAGTAATAAATAATTATAAAAATAAAAAATTATAGTGTATCTATTAACAATGATGCTTACCTTGATCACCCCTTTCAAACCTGAATTCATCATCTGAAGACTCATCTGAACTCGACAGAAGAAGATGGTAAAAAACAAAAGCAGCCCGATTGTCCATGTTAAAAAAATCAATTAAACAGAACACACAATCCAAACTGTTGTGTAATTTAAAAAAAAAAAAAAAAAAAAAAAAAAAACTATAGGTTGTTTATTGTTTATGTGCACAGATTTAGATTGGTTTTGTGTCCCGAATACAACGGGATTTTTTAGCAATGTTCTGTCAACTGCAGCGGTTAACAATGGTTACGGTTAGTTACTTTCGGACCATACCCTAAGTTGTCTCCATCATGTATTTTGCCAAACACAAATCATTTTACAAATAAAACAATTTCGAAATAAAAACTCTTATTATATTTCCATAAACATTTAAACAAACCAAAAATATTATATTTTAAACACAAAATTTGAATTTGCCCTGAGATAAATTTACAAATATCATGTTTTGTGGGGTTGGGCCAACTTCACTGAGACAGGGCTCGTATATTTTTTATATATCCCTGTTATAAACTGTAATAGTCTTTTGAGATGATAGTAATAGTAATAATAGTTCAACATCTAATACATATTTGACATATTTATCTTTATGACACCGTGCTAGGTTTAGTAACTCGATTTTTAAAATTGGTTGGAATTTAATATTTTTCTTAATAAGACAATCTGAAATCTGGGCTTTTCTCCATTTGGTGGTTGGTAACTGATCTACACGCCGGCTGTGGTATGGAGCGTTATCCATAACAATAACAGATCCTGGTTCGATTTTTAAAAGAATATCTGAAAACAATTCCGGTATCTGCTGATGAAATCCTTATCAGCGCGCCTATGACATCGCTTCAATGATAACATCCAAGCAAGATTCAAATGCGTTGTTGCCAATAACGTCACTTTAATCTGCGACGACAGTGTGGGTCTCGAACATTATCTACCGATAGATAAAGATGCAAGCTACGCGCTGGCAACGTTCCATTTTACCATTTGCTAGGAAGACGTTTGTACAGTTTAAAAATAGACCAGTCAAATTATTAAAATTATTTCAACAAAATTAGTTATTCAAAAAATTTATAAAGATAGCAATCTTCTCAATTTTTTTGAAACTATCTGTACGTATAGCCTTTAAATAGTGAGTAGAAGAAAAAGGTTTTACTAGAAGAGGAAGGTTTTTGTAAATTGATTAAATAAATTTTGCAATGCCCCACTAATTTGTTTATTAATTAATACTGAATATTTCTCCTTTTGTCGGTATTCAAAAAAATTAACAACTATTAAAAATAACTTTTTTGTACAGGGTAAACGTCTAATTTGATTGGCTTATAAAATTTCTTTACAACATGAGTCACTATCTACAATTATAGTATTCTACTGTACTTTATATTAGTTCGCTCTTTTTTTATTATTATGATTATTTTTAACCTGCCACATTTTTTTGTAAGTCGAAAATTAGAGAATTGAATAAAAAACTTGATTGTTTTTATGAAATGTGAATCACAATTACTTATTACATCCCCTTGTATCGACGTCACGCTACGCCACTGGATTCATATTAGAATAAAAGTGTTATTTAAAAGTACCAAGTACATCTTTAATTACTATAAATGGTTTCTGAAATTAATCCTTGATATATAGTGACACTGATCAGTGTAAAAAAGTAATTCTGAAAAATAGGTGATATATAGATTAGATTAGATTCTGCAAGAGTTGGACGTTTGGAAACTGTTATCCTAAAGGGAACGAAGTTCCATTTTCTCATTCTGAGTAAAATGATGTAAAGTTAACTTATAATATAAAAAATAACTGATTTTTTTTTAATTACATCGTAATTATTATAATAGGTATAATAAAATAGGTATGCACAACATTCATTTCCAGTTTATTTTCCATACATTTTTGGGTCCTTTTCTATGCATAATATACTTTTTCTGACATTAAGTGACAGCTTTGTTGCTCGTCTAATTTAAATTAACTATAATACAATAATATTTCCTTTTAATAAATGATTTTCAAGTAATTTATCGAACCATGTGCGAGCATCTTTGATTTATTTGAATTAGAACTAAGGTATTGGTTCCTTTTAGAGGAAAGTAAAACCTGTATTTTTAAAATTGGTGCTTGGTTCATCTACAACAAAACCATGATATCTTAAAAATGGTAAAATGGGCTTGGTCCTTTTTAGAGTAACGCTATCCATTTGTTTTTGTCCACTCTGACCTTTTCAGATCTATTGTTAATTAGATTAAGGGCCGATCTTTTCACCTCTGAGTAAAGTTACACGTAGGTTTACTTGACAGATTAGCGAACAATAGTCCTATAGTTTAATCAGCAAGTAGTTACTTTCAACTTTACTCAGAGGTGAAAAAACTGGCCCTTAGTAGCTTTATCAGTTGTTCCTGCATGCTTTTGGCTTTTCTTTACTTATTGTTTGAAATCTCAATCTAGCCAGGCCTTTATACTGACACAAGACGTGAATTGACTTTTCCTCTTATTCCCAAAACACGCACATAGTGTTACTTCTTCTGCTAGAACACTCATGTGGCTTCGTATGTGACAGTGTCCAGTAAAAAGACCTAGTGTTATCCTAACGATTTGACGTTTTGCTCCGGTAGATCTTTTGTGAAGTTGGGTGACGATTTCTTAATAAACTCTTTGGCTTCTCTCAATCCTGGAGAGTTGTTCCACCATTTCTGAGATTATTTTTGCATACATTGTTTGATGAATGACGCACACTGCCTTAGCAACTCTGCAAAAAAGGTTCAGGGATTCTCATGGCTATATCAGAGTCTTTTCAGGCTAATTCTTCGGGCCTTTTCTTTGTCCTGGTGTCCTTCGCGGCCTGGTACCCAGGCTAAAATCACTTTTTTGCCTGTTTAGCTGTCAGGTCTTCCATGTAGTCTTTCACCTGTCGTGATTTTATTTCTGGTAAGAGAATTGCCTTTAGAGCTGCTTGGCTATCAATTTAGATGGCAAAACCATTGATACTTGCTGATTTATTTCTCATGCACAGTGTTGTATGTATGTTAGCTTGTTGCACATTCTTCTGAACTCAGCTAAAATTCTCGGCTAAATTATTGTTTTCGACTTGGGTCTAAAGATTTCAGCAACGGCTTCTCATTGGTGATAGGTATTTAAACTGATTTTTCTGCCGAATTATAATTTATCTTTTAAATTGGTTTTTCTACTAAATTATAGTGGGAGAAGGAAACAATCAAATAGAAGCAGACCACATCAATGCTACCATGCACAAATGGATTAATGAAGAACGATTCGAAACGTTTCCTAAAATCACCGAAGCTAACATTAACGAAATTCTGCGTACACAAAAATATATCGTCCTTGTTGTAGTAGAAGAAAATAAAGTTTTTCAAATACCAAAAGAAATGCTCGAGTTCCGGAACACGGTTGAGGCATTGGCTAGGAAGAAAAGACATGTTTATCATGATTACTTCCAATTTGGATGGACAAATAGTCGTGAGTTGGCTAATAACATCGCCATGCAGATTGTTCCTTTGCCTTATTTAATTGTTTTGAATTCAAGTACTTTGCATCACCATGTACCTGAAGATGAACCAATGCAAATGACACCTGATGCGATTGAAATGTTCTTAAAGAATATTATTGAAGAAACAGTTCCGGTGAGTACTAAATATATATATATACAGGGTGAATCCTCAGTTAATACTTTTTTTATCTGTGTATAGTAATCATTAAAATCAATATTCATGTTCCTTCTAGACAAACAAGGCTTATTCACCCCTTCAATATTAGACAACATCGACAAAATCATGTATGTGATATTTTGATGTCTGGCTGATTTAAGATTTAACTTATTTACATTTGTTATCTTGTTTTTTTTTTTAATATTTAATTTATTTTTCTTGTTTATGTTAATTTTATGGTAATTTATGTTTCTTTGTTTTAAAATTCTCTAAGGGTAGGTTAGGTTTTAAATTTTCCCTTTTATTAAACTTGTATTTTAATTGGGCAATTGCTCTTTGATAAATAAATAACTTTTTCAAATAACTTTAAAAAAATTCAAAATAGAGATACAGGATTAAAAAATCTAAATCCGAGCCTGGACTTATGTACGAAAAGTGAAATGAATTAATAAGTCTGTTTATGTTTTTATCTGTGTTTTCGGTTTTTCTTACGAATGTGAATCACGGCTATTGTAATGTAGTGGTCTGATTTTAGTTAGTAGGTCACTAGTATGTTAAATTGAAAATTAAGTGCGTATAGAAGAACATATTTAAATAATGTTATTGAAGACTTGTTATTTTTTTTGCGTTTAAGTTTTACAGGGTGCACGAAACAAAACTACAAATCATAAAATAATTATTTTACTATTTTTTATTTAAGTAGGTACGCAATTGTGTCTTAAATATAGTAATATTGAAAAATACGTATTTTATTTCTAATTATACAGGGTAGTTTAAAGTATTTCGATTATATATTTTAATAGATATAATATGGATTGGATCAGTTACGATTGTGGTAAATAATTTAAAAGTATCCGATTGTCGAAAAAAGTATCCGGTATCCGGATACTTACAAATTTGGTCACAGATACGTATACTGGATACAAAATTTTAAAAGTATCCGGATACAGCTTTCGGATACACACAAAGTATCCGGATACAGAAGTATCCGGATACTACCCAACTCTGGTATGTTATCAAATCATATCCATTTTATGAAATCCACCAATCACAGTTCATTATTTATTGTCGTTGACTATTTTTTTTTTTAATTAAATTCTGTCAAACTAAATGGCTGAATATTTTTAGTTATTAAGATAAAATATAATTCAAAATGAGTGATTCTTGTAAAGAAACGATAAATAGGGGGGGTGGGTGGCTCACCAGTGGTTAGGATTTTGAAATTCATGGGTCCTGAGTTCGAATCCTGGCGGTAACGGGATTTTTTTATAATTAATTTACGTAATTAAAAATTAATTCTAATGCACTAATAGTGCTGTTCTTAAAGTGGCGCTGAGGAACTGTAACAAATCCTACACAGAACACGTCATATAAAAATTAAACCTAACTAAGACAAGTTAATTAAGTAGAATCTACCAAAGTCATTACACCGAAGAGAAAAAACATTTACCATTTTTATGCATGTCATAGTAATAGACACATCATTGATAGTAGTAGATAACAATAGATTATGAATTATACTTCTGCAACGTGTAGGGTTGCCACCTTTTTGAAAAGTGAATAAAGGACCATAATGCTAATAGGGGTCCTCACCCTTCTACTGAACTTCAAAAAAAAGGTCCACGAATGTGAAACAAAATCCTCGTCCTCTTACCAAGCTTCTAAAAATCTTTGTGGCATTCTAGTACTAACCCTGAGTAAGTTCGTGATCTGTCCAAGTTGAATAGTACGTGTCTGCTATCTGTATGGATGAACATGTTCCTTTCAGTGATATTGTTTCTGGTAATTTCTTTTGCTGTTCCTCTGTTTAGGGTTAAAGATTTGGAGTATATTCCACATCCTGAGCCTTGTTTTGTTTTAGAACCATCGAAATAGATATGAGTCGTACCTATTCACTTCCGACTCTTCTATTTTTGTTCTGTTATAACTTTATATGGCTTATGGAAGATATATGGGTCCTTTTCAATAACTTTTTAATTTGGGTGATCTTAACGATTACACCTACATCTCTCAAGATATTTAGCAAAATGTTTGCAAAGATGTATAGTTTGGTACCTGGCCGACTATGACAAAAACAAAAATTCACAAATAGTTTGTCTTATATATTTTTTTGTTTTTTAAACATGCAATTTCATACCTCCGTCACGCGTCACGATTGCTATTTTCTATGTTTGTACCTTTGTCATTTAATATACATGCAATATACAATGTTTGTCGCTATGTTTCATAATCTGCCATATTTTATCTGTCAATATAATGATAAAATGCAACAAAACATCGACTATACATACATGTTACTAAATCTTGAATATTGGTTGTCATGCTGCGTGTACCCGATCTCCGTCACACCAATTTTAAGTTGAAAAAGCGACCATCAGGTGGCGGTATCTGCGAATAAAATAAGTCTGATTTTGTTGCTGGGCCTCAGTGCATTCATGTCAAGCAGTAATTGTGAAGGCAGTAGTATTTTATTGTACGATTTTTCAATAAACCAGGTAAAATTTTGGCAGGTTTTTTTTTCTTCTCGGATTTCCGTCCCATAGGATATTTATTTTAAAACAGCAAATAGCGCTTTTATTTAAATATCTTTAAAAAGTATACCCTGGCCAATGTACATATCTAACCTAATTCTTTAATATAGCAAGTGCAAGAATTCAGAAGATCTATAATAAGTGAATCATATTACCGTCCCGTCGGATATCCGTCACGCTGACATTAAAACGTGACGGAGATATGACGAATGGGACGGAAATATTAATTTATTTAAACGGTTTCATTTCAAAAAATTAGAATATTGTCATATTTATTGTTTATCTGCTCAAAATGAATTTCAAACAGTGATTGAAAGTAAAAGAGATTTTTTTTTCATTTAAATGGAGGAAAACTCTTTGGTATGCGTTTCTCTGAAAATTAGTTCAGATGATGTAATTAGCCCAAAGAATGATAATGAAAGCGACAAAATAGCTTTATTAAAGAAAATGTTAAAAGACATGAAGGAGAGTGCGTTAGAACAACAAGTAAAAGATAAAAAGTTGAACAAAAATACCTTCCAAATTAAGTTAGGTACGTGACATCACTAACAAAGCAATATCCAAGTTAAAATCAGATAACTTAGCGAAAGCCAAATTAAAAGATTTTGAAGAAATATTGCCATCGACATCTAAAACCTCAGAATATAGTGTTGAAGTTTTTAAAAATTAGTGTATTTTCTTGCGTATTTTTCTTTACTTTTCATATTTCCGACACATTATCGTATCTCCGTCACTCTTCATATTTCCGTCACCTCATGTTTTAGTGAAATTGTAATTCTACTAAGGCACTTGGGAGTTAAAATTTTTCAATTTAACGTACTATTTTAGAGTTATTTAACTGTTTTATGCAATTTCTATAAGCTACTTTAGATATTTTTACTAAAAAAAAAAAATAATTCCATTTTTTTATCTTTCTTTTAATAAATTTGCAAATTTTTTCTCACTACATTTATTTAGATTGTAGTAGCACATTTTGTTAATGTATTTTTAAAAGATGATGGTACTTACTTTAGAAAAACATTACAACAATAAGAATTTAAACGTTATCTAATTTTTTTTGTAGTCTTGTATGTGTGACGGAAATCTTAAAATATAAGACATACCTAGACAAATTTCTACAGAAAAAAAAAGTATATGAATATTTTCAATAACCAAGGCTCAAACCAAGTATTTCAAGCATGTAACAATATAAAAAGGATGATATTAAACTGATAACTTAAGGTGAGATTTTCAAAATCACTTATAGTGCAAATTAAAAAGTTATTGAAAAGGACCCATATCTTGGTGAGATGGAGTCCATGTTCGCTTGAAGCAGTGAGTGCGTATCGAGCGCCTCTTGCCAAAAGCGAAGTCTCGCCTTACCAAATCTTACATCAGATTCTATTTCAACCATGAGGAGACATGTCATTGCCATCAGAGCAACCTTCTTGTAAGTATCACGGGAAGTGAGACTAAGAATGACTTCCATGACTCTGGTTGGTGTGGTTTTCATTGCTCCTGTTGTGTTGAAACATGCTGTTCTTTAAATTTGTTCTAGTTTGCAGGTAGCTATCAATTTTTGGGTTTTCTGTACCCAGACAACTGCACTGTATGTTAGTATAGGTCTTATGATGACTGTGTAAATCCATGCAACGACTGGGGGAGACCCAGGTGCGCCTTACGGTTCGACAGCATTGTTCATAAGCAGTGTATGCTTTTTTAATCTGTTTTCTAGGTTTGAGTTCCATGTTAACTTGCTGTCAAAGGAGATACCTAGGTACTTCAACTCTGTTGCAAAGTTTAGTTTTGAGTTCAGGAACTCTTGAGGTTTTAGTTCAATTTTCATTCCTTCTCTTGTGAAAAGGAATTGATAGACAGTGAATGGTCCTTATACTACTGTTCTATAATTGTGAGAGCTACTTGCATTCTTTCACAGAGTGTTCTAAAAATTCCTTGTTTGCAGAATAACCAGGTCATCTGCATACGCTATTGTGTAGAGACTATTATTATTGAGACTGCTGATGAGGTTGTCTAGGGCCATGTTCCACAGTATAGGTGATAGTACCCCTTCCCCGTGGATGTTCCCTCACAACCAAGCCTCTTATATTTACATCTTCTATACTTATGTTTACTGCCTGCTTTGAGAGCATGTTATGTATCCACTCACTAACCATCTGTGGAACATTCCTGTTGGTAAGTTAGTGTATTATATTGGGGAAGGTCGTCTTATCGTGTTGTAGGAATCATACATAATATATTATGGTATATCACTGACAGTGATTCATATTCGTGTTGCAAAAAAATTGATTTAGATATAGGATCCGTGATTCGAATCTATTTTTGAAGGATTCGTCCCAGCTCTGAATTATCAGATGCAAATTGTATCCCTTTCACGTTCAACTTGAACATTTCTCTTGCAGATTTAATTATCATTTTTCGACAAAAATTAAAGGGTTATAGAGGACCGTATTGGATACATTTTTGAATAAATTATAGTCAAATTCTTATTTTTGAGTTTTTTTGAAAAATTTGTTTATTTGAATGACTTAACACAGTTAAAAAAGTATCAACTTAGGATTCGCCCAATATAAAAGAATGTTTTTTTAGGCAAATAAATTATATTTTCCTTTGAACTTTATAAACATATACCTTTTTCTTGACTCCATTACGTCAAATTAATTTTTAACTTTTGAATTTGACAAGGGTAAAATTCCAGTGCCTTTTATAAATTTTAAATCTATGGTAACATGTATATTTTTATAAAAGGTCTGAGATTGACGGTAGTTTTTCAAAACCACATTTTTGAAATATTACCTTTTTATAAGTCATACGTTAATTTAAAAGCTCATATTTTAGGTTTTCAATGAAACAGTAATAATAGAGCTGCAAAATTTTGATTTCAAATGAAATGTTTATAACAGTGTTTATCATTTGGTCCTTATTTGTAATTCTCCTTTCTTTTAGATTTATGGCGGTAATGACATAGCTGTAAGAATTTATAGAACATATTTTAAAGCAAGAACAACTCTAGCCGACAGATGGTCAGGAAATCCAGTACTGACAACTGTTTTGCTTGGACTACCTCTGGGATTTTTGTCGTTTATTTTGTACTCATGTTGTTGTGCAAACATATTAGATGCCGACGATGATGAGGAAGAAGGTAACTTAAATTTTTTACCTAATTTATTCGATAAATGTATTTTCTATGGTCTACAGCTCTGACTATATTCAGTTAAATCTAGCAATGTGTACTTGATAAAGCCATAACCATGTGGATTTGTATAACATAAAATAGATAGCTAAAAAAATTTAAAATTTAAAATTTTATATTAGAGAAAAAAAAGGAGAGAAAATCGGTTAGATATCCGAAAACTATAGTACGCATTTTTGAATTGTGAAATGTAAACCCCCAATTTCCCCTACGAAATTAAGGAATTCTTCCCCACATCCCCAATGTGAAAATAAACCCAAGGAAAATTGAAAAAGCTAAAAAATAAAGAAAAAGTGGGTGCCCCACCTAGGGATCGAACCTGAATATAGTCCTCGATGCCTTTACCAATTAGGACACTGCAACACAGCTACGACATTTTAATGTGTGAAGAATATCTCACACTTAATGTATTATCCACACACACAGAATTTCATGAAATTTTAATATGTTCTTGAGGGAATCAAATTAAGCATTTTGTTCTATACACGGTGATACCGAAACAATTCACTTTAAAGTCATGTTGATACTTTGAAGACAAAACTTGTGTTCACAGGTGGGTTTTGTTCCATTGTATCAACCTTGTAACTATACAAGGTGATCCAGAAAATACAGTTCAAAATAATATGAGCAAATGAAATAATTTGTTAAAAAACGCAGTTTTTTCGTTAAAAAGTTGTGTATTTTATCTACATACCACATTCCTATTTTAGAAAACTTGGTTTTTGTTTCAAAATTATATATTTTATTAAATGTTAATTGAAACAAATCTAAAACTAATTATTAGAACAATGAATGAATAGGTACTAATTAATAAAAATGACTAGCTGTTGTCCGCGGCTTGGCACGCGTGGAATCATGTTTTTAATATAAAAAAAGCATTGCTTTCCAAAACACGTGATATGTTTCTTAAAGCTTCATGTGATAGTATTATAGATTAGAGCTAAGTAGAGTAATCTAATATTTCAGTATAGTAATATGATTAAGGATCTCTTTTTATACCACATTTCAGGAAAGAACCTCATCTGCTCATATTAACAGATTGCTTGTGGAAATGTTATGTTGGGAATAGGGTGTTAATACACTGCGACCTAAAAGATCTATTGGGTCCCCTTCTGCCGCTAATGCAGCAAGGAACTGTCTTGATGGCTATACGACTCTTCCAATCTTATATTCTCAAGGAAGTGTAGGATTTTGAGAGGCCTCAAGTTAGGTAAATCTCCCTCTACTACTACTCTCAGTTTACTAAGGTGTCCTTTGAGTCGGCAATGCCCAGTAAGAATCCCTGTTACAATGTGTAGCCTGTTCTTGCTCAGGCAGGTACAGGCTTCCGATTTTTTCTGGTTATATTTACCCAGAAGTATCTTAGCCTGTCTTAACCCTAAGACGTTGACCCAATTATCAGTTCTTTACTGTCCAATTCTTTTTTAATCTCTCCTAATATTGTGGCATACTAAGCATCTGCAGACCATTTTTGAGCTGATTTTGTAAGAGCTTTGTGCTTTGATGACTGCTTGGCTATCGCACATGATGATAATCTCTTGTCTACGATAGTTTCTCTTGATGTTAAACTGGATACACGTCTCAGTGGCGTGAATTTCCGCCTAGAAGATGCTTGGGTATTTTTTTCCCCAAACTATTAGAGAGCCTGGTTCTTTGCCCATACACTCTTATTCCAGTTCCTTCTATGTTTTTGGAACTATCCGTATCATACTGAATAGCATGTATTTCTGTTGTAAACACGATGTATTCTTGGCTCTATTCTTTCTTGCAGCCCAGCTGTGTGGTTTTGAAGTTTTTCACAAAACTGCAATGTACTTCCTTCACACTCTATTAACAGGCCACATAAAACTGTCCGTGAGAAAATCTGTCTTCCATTAGGCTGTCGAGGTGACGAGACATCAACATATGTCGTTTTTTATCAATTCACTCCTCACATTTCACTTATTTGTTTTATTTATATTTTATTGTTAAGGAGGTATACTTCTATTTTTACCCAGCTGTATTTGTCAATATTCCATTGAAGATATATTTTGTCTTCAAAATATAGCTAGATTTAGTTAAATGTATTTTTTTAACAATTTAATTAATTAGTGTGCATCCACATTTTCGCAACAGTTTAGCAGTCATATCTCCGCTCACGTCGTGAATGGGTGACCGCTGGGAGCTCCACTATGTGCCTTGTTGCCATGGAATTTAGTATTTAACAATCGACAACGTGGATTGAATCACAGTGAATGAGTGACTGAATTGGTGAACGGGATAGTAGTAGGACCTTCAAATGGTGGTAAAATAAGCAACAGGCTGCAGTGATGCCAGGCTACAGACAGATTAGGGTGATAGTCCGAAGAGTGTAAAAAATGGCTTTAAGCTTGAATTTTATTCAGTATTAGGTACACTGTATAGTTTCAAGCTTGGCCAATGAAAAAATAAACTTTGTTTAGTTTAATTCATTTGCTCATATGACTTTGAACAGAGTTTTCGGTATCACCTTGTATAGTTACAAGGTTGGTGCAATAAAACAAAATGCACCTTTGGATACATGTCTTGTATTCAAAGTATCAAGCTAATTCAGTTTAAAATGTGATTTTTTCAACAATTTAATTCATTAGCCTGTATTACTGAAGTATATTTTCGGTATCACCTTGTATAGGTACAAGGATGGAGCAATGGAACAAAATGCTTACTTTGACTTCCTCAAGAACATACTAAATTTTTTTGAATTCTGCCTGTGTGGAAAACTCATTCATAGTGTGAGATCTTTTGTTATCATATTCCTTTTTCTCTTTAAATTTACGTTTATAGCGGTTCGTACATGAAAACAATACTGGCAGACAAATGAAGGATCCTAGGATTCATTCTAGTATATGCTAAGCATGTCGTCTTTCACCGATACTGTGGCTTTAAAGAGAATTGAGGCTGGGGAGAGGGGAGAGTGTGTACTGGCGAGAGTCAGAATCTGATGACTTCAAATTTACTTATTCGACTGTCATAGCTATGTGTTGCGATCATGATACTGTAAAAAGAAAGTACTACGTCACGGTGACGTATTGTGGTGCGAAGGCGTGGATTTTACGAATTTGTGATATCAGCTGATCGAACACAGCGCGCCAAAATAATTTCAATCTGTTCATGGCCAATCAGTTAGCCATATTCCACACCAAAATACGTCATAAATCAACGAAATTTCGTCAGCTAAGTACCATATCTCTATAATTTTTTGTAACATGTGTTGCGGTGGGCTACTTGGTGAAAATATTGAGTGCTATACTCCGAAGATCTAGGTTCGATCCCTGACCGGGACACTCGTTCATATATTTTTCAATTTTGAATTTTTCTTTGGTTTGTTTTCACTTTGGAGACGTGAGTGAATTCTTTAATTTCTTAGGAAGAATTGGAGTTTACTTTTCACATTTTCAAAAATGCATGTTTATTTGTTATAATTTTTGTACGCCTGTTCAGTTTAAAATAATCAAAATTTAAATGTATATTCCACATTATTCTTTTATTACTAACATACAATTATATTTTTCTTTTTTTTTTCAGAATTACCTCACGAAAAAAAAGAATAGATGGATTTTATAAGGACAATACGTTTTCATTTAGAAAAACTGTCTCTAGTCTTTTTTGTATTATGTTATGTACCTGAATAATTTTGTGATATAGAAGCCAAAGATTTTTTTGATATTATATTTTAATTGTCGTTTTCATATTATGAATATTTAATGTTAATATTTATTTACACATATTATAGAACAGATGCAACGTTTACAACGCAAGCCTTTATTATAGGGGCGTTTAGATGAGGCTTATGTAACATTTAAACAAGTTTAATTAAATATGTAAAAATTAATATTGTGCCATTTTTATATTGTTACACTTTGGGTGTATTTTATAGAGAATTACATTAAATAATAAAATAATATCAGAGTACGTTAATTTTCCTATGACTCCAGGAGAACTGTATAGAAAAACGATGCTGTTAAATAGACATAAATAGGAAAATACATGCTATCCAACTAGAGCTAGAGGTGTAACTATTATTTTAAACGAAATCTTTCACCATGTTCTCTAGTACTCGCTTTAATACGCCTTCTTCCAGGATAAAAGAGTACCACTGAGCGAAAAATGACAACTACTGGAGAGAGTTTCAATACTTCTTGCCAATTAGGTCGATAATTTTCCTCTTTCCATTGTCACATCTTTAAAACGGGATCGTTCTCTTGTTCTTCCCTAAGTTTGACAGGGGCCCATTCATCGTTGACAACCGTTGTTCGTCGTACTGTAACTTCTTTAGCAGATGTGGCCAACCCCTCTCCAAACGGAATTCCTTGACCAACACCTTCATTGCACTTCGAAGGTTCCACCATGACAGGCATTCCTTTCTCTAGTTACTTGTAACCGCGTTACTTTTATGGTTTCAAATGTATCAGGTACCATATTTCCTTCCTGTACAGTCACCGGCATGGTTTTTCAATTCTTTAGTGTTCTTTGAACGTAAACTGCTTACATTTCCCATTTCACCGCTATTCCAGCACCTAATAGTCTTCTGCTGCTTCTCAATAAAGCTTTTTATCATGTGAAACAATTGGTCGACGGTATTTCTCTGTCCTTTTTTACAGTCCTTACTTCACTGTATTCACCAGAAGCCAGTGTAGCTGCTTCATATTCAAGAGCGGCGGACAAGACATTGAACAATGTTTTGTGACGGGCTAAACGGAGTGTCCTTTGCATTTCATGGTCACGAAGTCTATCAATAAATGCTTAAACAGCCAAGCATTCAATCATGTATTCTGGAGCTGATTGATAGGCAAATCGCACCATCTTCCCAATATCTACTTCATATTCTTGAAGGGTCGTCTCGTTTCTGTTTGCGATTCTTTAACTGTAATCGGTAAACCTGCTCCAAGTGTTTGTGGCCATATCACATGTTGTCTCTTTTTAAGTTGTTCAAAATCGTCTGTTTTTCCACGGGTATAGGGGTCTATTCTGTAACAATTCCTTTATATTTAACGGCCTTTAAAAATATGTTTTTCTTTACTTCTGTCATTATTTAAACGGATCTTTAAATTACATTAGAGGACTTAAAGAAATTTGTTTAAATAATGACAGAAGTAAATTAACGAATACGAAAATATTTTAAAGGCCGCCAATAGTTTTAAAGGCTGTTAAATATGAAGGAATTGTTACAGAATAGACCCCATAGTCTGAAGGACATCTAAAGCATCTCCTCGAAGGGCGATAGTCAAATTTACTGTATTTTCCCTTTAAGACCATTCGTTTTCTCCGGCAGCTGGGTCGAACTGTTCAAGATAGTCCACGACATCTTCTCGTCGAAAGTTGGGGCTTAAACAACTCCTTCCAATTTCAACTTTAACTCCACCTCATAGTACTTTATTTCACCGTTGTCTTGTATGTTTAATTTCTTCCATATTCTGTTCCATCCGTTTTATTTTCTCCTCAACGGAAGACATTATTTTATTATCGACTGAGGATATCTTATTTTCCATAGAACTTTTTCTTCTAAGGAAGAAATATGGAAGCAATATCAGTAGTAATTTCACTTTTTATAGAAGATATTTTGTTTTTCAAGTCTGAAGAGATATAGAAAGAGACTTTATCTTCCAAGGAAGAAACTTTAGTTTCTGATGAAGAAATATAGGTTTTCATAGAGGTCATATCGGAAGACATTTTGGTTTTTAAGGAAGAGATATTACTTTCGACGTAACTCAGCCACTTTTAAATCACACAGTTTTTTAGCCATTTTTTTCCACTATTTACTTCTAACTTCTAACACCAATGTAACGATTATTTAATTTAAAAATAGTTTATAACGTACTAATTAATTTATTTAATACTTAGACACTATTATAACAATTTTAATTTATTTATTACAATTTATCTTTACTATATAACACTAATATTGAAACTTCACGTCTACCAACAAATTCGCGCTATTTGAAATAATCTCGGCGGGTGACTTTTTCATGATTACAATGCTTCCTTCTTATCGAAAGAAGTAAAAAACAGCGCCTGTAATTAACCTATTATTGTTCCGTTTCCATTAATCTAGTACATATTGTAGATATTCCTTTAAAACCTGACTACACTATTAATCAATTTATTTTTTCCAAATAATCAACAAGTTGGTTATATACTACTTTTCCTAATATTTTGTTCTATTGTGGCCGACATATTAATTCTGTACCATCCGTGAATAAGTGGATAAGTTAAATTTTAGTAAAAACGAGACATCTACATACTCGTACATCTATAGTGTTCTTCCCATTCTGTCTGGTGAATAAATGGGTAATCAAATTCGCAATAGTATATTTCAGAGAACACCGTGAATAGTTGGATTTCTCGAATTTTTTGTGCCAAAACCGATAACTACAGCTATCCCTGGATTTGGAAGAGGTAGATCCAATGTCTAAAAAAACGAAACAACTTAAAATTTCTATTTTACGAAAACATTAAAATGTTTAAAATGGCCATACTAAAAAACTCTACTTTTTAACTTATCGACTTATTCACGGATGGTACAGAATTGGTCTTAAATCTACTGCTCTATAATATATAAAAATAAGTTTAAATGTTTCTAATATTAACACCTAAAACATAACTAAATTATATCCTAAATTAAAATAATTAATAAAAGTATAAAAAACTACATCGAATAGGTCCAAGGTTGCAACGATGAAGATGGTGTCAATTCCTATGTTAGAATTGTGTGCAGTTGTTTTGTTGTCACATCTTGTTTATATGTTTATAACGTACGTCTATTCAAAAAGAGTATTCACTTCTAAAATCTATGCATTTTCAGACTCCACAATTATTCTTGCCGAGTTCGAAATGTAAACTTCTTTTACTCTTTTCACTCCATAACTAACTTCAGTCCATATTAAATCATTGTAATTCAGTGATGTGAAGTTAGATATGGAGTAAAAGGAGTCCACATCCCGAACTTAGCATCTTGTTTAGAGTTTCCTCATCTTAAGGATATTTTTGTAACAAATAGGTTGCAGCATTTAGAGAACAGCTTCCTACTGCCAAATGGTGTCACATTGAAAGTGATAATATTGCAGATTGTCTTAGTAGAGGGTTAACTCATTTGTTATTAAAAACCCCTCATTGCATTCGGGTCCAACGTGGCTTCAAACTAGAGAGGAAAATTGGCCAATTAGTGTTATACAGTTTGTTAAATCAAGAGGTTTTACTTACTACAGAAAATTTCGAAGAATTCTTTGTATGCTGTGTCATTAAGATCATCTCTGACACCTACACCACTATTGTCTGGATAAATGAAATAACAAATACAAATTTAAATTTATTTTCATAGTAAACAAAAATATTCAAGTAAAAATTATAGCTATCCAAAGGAGAATAAAGAAAACAACAGTTTCAACATGTCTATCTATTCAATGAATATAAATATAAAGACAAATTCTAACAATATATATAAAATAACTATTATAAACTTTTAATTAACTCGATGTAAACTTTTGGTTATTAAATATTTTCAAAGAAAATCAACAGCCTTAGATTGTGTAATATCTCGTCTCCTCAAAGATTCGTCCATCCGCAGCTGCTCTTGCTGAAGCTGCATTCGAATCGCACCAAGCTGAGTTAATATACTTCGGTTTTGGCCACCTAGTGTTGAATCCGTGTGATTCATAACATTTTTTTGAACGGCGGGGATCTGAAACCCACCAACAAAAAATAAAGAACATTGCATTCTTTTAATTAGATTTGGATTACAAATGATTATAAAATTGTTCAGAAAGAAAATGTACACGTACGCGCTAAAAGTTAAAATAAAAACTAATTAGAAATTATGTGATCGATCCTATTTGTGGGTTTTTACAAATCATTTTTTCGGAAATCAGTAAAACCTTTGTCTATAAAAAAATAGATTTTAAATTTAAAGATATACCTATACATAATTAATTTACAGTTTTTCTGGAGTATCAGTTTTTTTTTTCAGTTTTAAGATCTAAGATAAAAAAGTGATTTGAAAAGAGACATTGGGGGCAGTCAGAAGTTTCATAATCCATTTTGATTTCATTTTGCAAAAATAAAGCAAACAAGACTACGTTAAAGAATGGCTGTTTAAACGATTATATTTGAAGGGTAGGTACAGGCAAAAAAGGCAATATGTCAAAAAAGTTAGTTTTGAGAAAAATGCTTTTAAAGGTTTTAAGTGCTCTAAAAAGTAATTTATAAAAGGAAAACAGGATAAATTTTTACACACTATTAATATTAGGATACTGTGCTACAAATACCACTCAATTAATTTTTTTTAACAATTTTTTTAGTGAAAAAAGCAATTTTTCCCAAAAAGTAACATTCAAACAGGGAAAGAAAGTATTTTAGCATGAGATATTTATAAAAAAAAAAACAGTAATATAATAAAATGCCTTAATGGGTCTACAGTACTAAAATTCAAAGGTCCAACGACTTGACACCTTTTTACGTGGTTCCGCGCTGACATTCCATTTTTAGCCTGTATGGAAAAATTAAACGGGTGTTATCTGCAGACTGATCGCTCTTTTAGCCATGAAAGTTTCTATGGGAAAAGTTTATAGCTTTATCTCATAGATGGCCTGATTAACTTAATTTCGAAAAAAATTGACATATCGCCTTCTTTGCTTGTACCCTTCATTTAGTAAAAGAGTCTTTACAGCCTAATTCACAAAAGTCATTATAATGAATGTCTAATAAGAGTTAGACCATATTTCATTAACTGTTATCTAATCATTATAATCTTGGTAAGCTTACATTCTTTACATGTTCTATCGATTTCATAAACCTTTTTCATAAAATTATTAACGAATATTTCATTTGTTATTAATTTGAGGAAACATCCTCTTTTATTTGAATTTTATTAATCACAGTCCGTTTGACAATTCATGCCCAACTCTACTTTTTCTCTAAATTGATATTTCCATGTTTAAGAATTTACATGTAGGTAAATATTTAAATATGCATTGTGAAAACTGGTGTTAAAAAAAATATTGAAATTGGTAGATTAAAATAGCAAATCTATAACGAATATGTTAAAATTTAACGGGCGTTAAATATGTTAATTTTATTCGTTAAATCGAGTATATTAGCATATACTAATTAGTAAGCTTTAAAACAACTTATAAGAAATTATGACTTAATTCAACTTATAATTCAAGAAAATCATGAAAATGAACCATTTTGTAAGTACTCGAGTAATTTTAAGTCAAAACTGCACAAATTCTATTTAGAAATTATATTTTATTTATAGTGTACATAAATTTTTTGTAATTAGTAATTGATTTGCGTAGAAAGACATTATTATAAGGTTACTGGGGTTAGTTTTCTTTGTATTGATAATTGATAATAATAATAATACTCTCCCTAATTCACCCCCTTACGAGTGAATTTCAACCCCTGAAGTCGACTGAACGACTTGTGTAGGGGAAGGGACGGCTATCATTATTATTTGCCGTGGCGCTCCGGGGCGACTTAAAGATGATTGATGGTGCCATTTGACTTACAGGTGAGGAAAACCCGGAAAACCTCACCCACCATCATCGAGACGGTAATGTATGGCGAATTTTTTTAATCTGCATGTCATATCAACAGAAATTGAATTTCTATTAATACGCCACACATTAAATCCTAAACCGAACCATGCAATTTAATTAAAAATCCACATGGTCCGGTCTGGGATTCGAAACCCAGCAGTCTCAGACTCATAAACTTGCCTATAAATGAATATAAGCGCGATAGACCGCTACACCACCGTCCCGATATGATAGCCTACTAGTTTATAAAGTACATTCGGCGGCTACTTTTTTCAATATTCTTGTGCAAAAACAAGCAGATACAATAAATATGACAGAAGTAATGACATTTATTTGACAGACCTTAAAACTTAACCATACTTTTATTGCAAATTTAAACTACTTTTAACGTATGTTAATTTTTTTGAAAATTTAACGAATGCGTTTATTTTTACCGAATTACAATTTATGTTAAAATTGTAAAATTTAACATCCGTTAAAAATAAACATATTGAATTATAGAATTACCACTATACACTCAAAACATATGCGTATGTGATTTAATGAACTGCAATTATTGACAGAAATCAAATATGAATATCGAATCAGAAGACTATGTTTTGACAAGAAAATATTGATAGTGAGGATAGAAATGGATTTATAGCAATGATCATTTCCAAGATACATGGTGCAGCAGAATTTTGGACATGCGAATAAAACCTATAACTGCTTATAAAAAACGAGTTCGTAACTTTTTAGATAGTACCAACGCCGTCAAAAATGTTCAGTTGTTTACCTAAATACTATTTAAAGGCAAGATGTTATCAAATGATGTATAAATAGATAATGTGAAAGAATGTAATGTGTGCCATATTGTATATTTCAGAACTAATAATTTAGCATTTCGTGGTGCTCACCTGCCACCTATCTTCCAGTCGTCTAATTGCATCTGAACTCTGTCTAGAACTGTATGGAATCGAGTTCTTTAATTCTTTGGCAACAGGCGAATGTGCTTTTAATACTGGAACTGGTAGAGGATCCTCAAACCTACCGGAACTACTCCTTCTTTGTAACCTTAACAAAACAAAAAAATCAATTTGTCTTTGAAAAATTAAGAGTAAAAATTGTTCAGTCAATTTGAAAGCTACATGTGTCCTATTCGGTATATATTAAAAAGAAATGAAACCTGGTGGTCAATGTGAACTATGCTTAATAGCCGAGCATTCCTGACCGGAGAAGCTAGCTGCGAGACTAGTGTGTATTCACGTTCTCGCTGCAGAGCAATTATGTCTCCGGTCACGTCTAGGATGAGTGACCGCTGAACTTAGCCGACCAGCGGTTAACTATTGATGACGTGGAATGAATGAAGGTATGATGAATGTGAAGGACTAGAGCATCCAAATGGTAGCTCAATAGGCCACCTACGACTCAATGTCGCCATGCGAAACCCAAGAGGAGGGAAAGCAGACTGGCCCCCGAGCCTGATTGAGGGGGAGCAAGTGGCTGAACCCAAACCCGATTGGGGGGAGTCCGCCGTAGCAGAAGGATGTCTGAAGGGGTGAAAAAAAATCTGAGTATTCATTATGAATTCGTTCAACCTAAAACTCTCGTTTCTAGGATTGGGCGTGAAAAGGCGATCATCATAGTTCAACCCCACTAACTTACAATATTTTTAAATTAGATCTTTTTCCTAACTAATAATAATATTGTAAATCTATCTACCTGAATTATTATGGTATGGTTAAAAGTTTAATCTTGTACCCCTCTTAAGTTTCAACTCCAATTAGGTTAATATTATTGATGTATTAAAGAATATGTCTGATGGGAGATTAAGTGGTTTTTTCGGGTTCGGTATATTAGCTCTTCAAAGGACCTTGCACCTTTCTGTCAAATTTTCTAAAATGTTGATATGCTGCAGAACTCGATGCTTTTCAAAAGTGTCCATTGGCCTAAATCGATTACATTACTAGTTTTCGAGGTACAGGGTGTTAAACATCAGAATTGTCACTTTATTGCAACTAGATTTCTAACAATAAATCTGTTTTATTCACGTTTATTATAGAAAACATGAGTTATATATAATTAAATTCGACAATAATATTTTATAAAAAGTTACTTTAGAAATTGGATAATTACAGGGTGGTTCGGAAATAATTAATATTGTTTTTATGAAAAAATTTTTTTTTGATAGCGTTAAAAATTCAAACAGATATTGCAACAAGAGAAAATATAATTAGAGTAATTGCTTCTTGGTAATGCATCATATGTTATACAGGGTGACACTAATGTGGTTGCAGATGGCATATATTGTTTTTCAGCTCAAACAATGGTACTGAATTTTTTGTATTGCATTAAATACATGTAACCTATCACTTTTTGTCATACAGGGTGCTAAACCGATTACAAAAACTTTAACAACTTAAAAAGCAGTTTCTTGTGACACACTGTATTTTAAAATTTTCTCCGTCAACTTTATAAATTTTACATTTTTACAATAAACAAAGTTCAGTTTTAAACTATGCAAAATTTTGTTGTAATTCTATAACCAGTTTTCTTCAAATATGTATCTAAAGCTACTATAATTAAACGATGTTTTTAATATCTATTTTACTTATCCTCAAATATAAACAAATGCATTATTTATGTTATTCATACAAAGTGATACTAATATCTATGTATACAGACTAGTGATGGGATCATTCGAATATTCGATTATTAATATCATTCTAATTAATTCCATTATAATAATATCATTCGAATCATTTGAAATGTCTGAAATTGTAATAAACGAACGACAGTAACTGGAAACCTATTTTAAAACTATAGGGGTACTCATTTCTCTAAAGATTTTCATGAGAAGTGCCATACGTCCTCGTGGAAATAGAATTTTTAAAGCCAGTGAGAACTGACTGTTTCTCTCAGTTTTTTCGGGAGAATTAATATTCTCCTAAGAATTTTAATTCTCACTGGCTTTCAAAATACTGACATTTCTTATGAAAATCTTGACAAAAACAATTTCTCTCGAGTTTGAATATAGGTCCCCAGGTGACTTGTTGAAATATGGAGTACCCAAAATTGCCTTTTTCTCCTTAAGCAGTATACACATGCAACGTTTTTGCGTCTGGGAACCACCCAATCACTCCAATCAGTACGTCGCGCGCCAGCGCCGTAAGCAAAACAATGGCATGATAAATAAAAGTACATATTAACGTACGACGTTGTTTACTTTGGTGTACTACGTTCTGATTGAATAGTTAACTGTCAATATATTAACTTTTGACACAATGGTCTTGACCTACCCAATCAAGGATGATGACATATAATAATTCATTCAAATGTTATGATTCGAATACTCGATACATTCGATTTTTATTCATCCGTGTATTCGATTATGACGATCATTCGATTATGGCCATCACTAATACAGACCTAGCAAGAACAAATCTACGGGTCTACTTTGACTGTATCTAAGCGAAAACACTCGTTTATACATAGGCGGATTTAATGACATTGTAATACATTATATTACGATGTATTTGAGTCAGCAGATCTTACGGACGATGCACGAACGGTTGTACAATGCAGAATCGATCCTTTTCATACATAAATGATCGTCGAGTGATAATTCTCTCCGGTACAGACAAAGCAGGCGGCTCGTAAATTTGATCACGTTATGTCTATATATTTACGATTTATAATTATCTTCTACATAACACTCCCAAACCGATTTTTTTTGTAATTGGCAGGCGTATAAAGTCAGGATGTTTTTAATGATTAATTATAGCAAAGATAAAGAGCAGGTTGAAATAATATTTCACTACAATTGCAACTTTTGCCTCGATTTTCAAGATGATGACCACAAACTCTTGAAAAACTTGTTACATATATATTAGAAATTAAAAAAATATCGACCCTGCATTTGAATCTCTGCACATTTTGCCTGTTATACAGTGTGTTCCATAAAGTTGGGCCCATATGGACATTTTTTAGCATTACGATTGGAAAAACGTCGCAGCACATTCAACTTTGCTTTTTTCAAATTTTAAAACAGTCCATATTAAAGTTGGCTAGGTACTGTATTAGTTACCTGTCAAATTTAGTATTTTTTTTAATCGTTCTTATAATTTTTTTTAATGCTAATTTGACAGAAAACTATTATTAGTAGCCAACTTTGATATGAGCTATTTTAATTTTTTAAATAGGCAGAGGCGATTGTCCTACGACATTTTTTCAATGGTAATATTAAAAAAAAAATCCCGGATGGATCCAACTTTATGGAACACACTATATATAAAATACAACGCAACATTTAATGGGTAAATAACCTTCAACCTGAGACAATTTGGATTATGTTTGACTTGCCTTAATTCATCTGAAACATATTTAAATTGCTAATATTAGCTGATCACCAAAATGCACTAAAAAGCTGTATAGCAGGGAGAGAGTTGGAAAGGCTTTTGTTAGGTAGAGAGGTGGTAAACGTCAAACCCCGTCGGACGACATTTTAAATTATTACCGGCAGAATCGGACAAACGTATCTATTTATGAACTACAAATAACTATTTAAACAAGGAATATCCCAAATCATAATTCTATAACTATTTATGCGAAATTGTTATTAGCATTTATAATATAATTTTCTACGCCATGTTTCGCGTTCACTTGAGTTAGCTCCGCGGCAAAACCTTTCCAATTTCTTTCTGTCCCTGCTTTATCATATAATTTAAGTAGGCGTTGAATTGTTCTGTCAGTTGGATATGTACAATTTGACAGTAATGCACTCTGCACAAAAATTAGCGCATCACTATTAAAAGTGACAAAAAGTTTTTCTTTATTTGATTTTTCGATATATTTAAGTATTGGGACACCCTGTATATTAGTTTTGGATACTTACATGCAAAAAAGGATGAGTTTTTTTATGTGTAAATGTTTTTGTAAAATAAATACTAATACTTTGAAATTACAACCAACTTTCGCGATTAGTTGCTTTCAATATTTAGTAAACTTGTTGTTTGTGGTATTTAATTTTGAAAATTATTGAAATGAATAATCCTGACCGCCAGACAAGAAATTTTGGACATGACGAAGTGGTTAGAATCATTACATTACTTGAAGAAGGACGTAGTCAACGGTACATTTCAAATGATTTTGATGTTCAACAATCAACAATTTCCAGGGTAGCTACCCGGTTTGGAGAAACAGGGCAATACGACAGAAGGCCTGGACAAGGTCGTCCAAGGGTTACCACAGCAGCGGACACCCGATTTTTAACATTAAACGCTCTTGGAACTAGACACTGTACAGCGCGAATGCTTCAAAACGAACTAGCCATTGCCCGCAACACAAGAATTTCTGTGCAAACAATAAGAAATCGTCTTCGGGAAGGAGGAATTAGAGCCAGGGTATCCGACTTGTGTCCACGCCTTACCAGGGAGCATCGTGTTGCCTGGTTGGAATTTGCCAGAAATCGTGTGAATTGGGATATAGACGATTGGTCCAATGTCTGTTTTCAGATGAATCTAGATTCAGCCTGTTTTCATCTGATCGACGAATTCCAGTCTACAGACGTGATGGTGAACGATACTTTCAGTGTAACATCAGAGAAACGGAACCTTTTGGTGGTGGCTCTGTAATGATGTGGGGAGGAATTTATTTTGCGGCTCGTACAGAGTTAGTACCAGTTGTGGGAGGAAATTTAACAGCTGCAAGATATGTAACGGACATTCTTGAACCCTATGTTGTACCTTACGGTCCATTCATTGGTGACAATTTTGTTTTTATGCAAGACAACGCTCGCCTGCACACAGCTTTAATTGTTCGTCAGTACCTTAACGAAGTTGGAATTCCCACATTGGATTGGCCAGCTCGAAGTCCTGATTTAAATCCAATAGAGCATGTCTGGGACAATTTATCACGACAAGTACGAAATCGACCAATTGTTCCTAACACCTTAAGTCAACTTCAAAAAACTCTAACCGAGGAATGGGACAATTTGCCGGAACAATTGATGCAAAGCCTGATTTTAAGTATGCCACGTCGATGTCTGGCAGTACTTAGAGCACGGGGTGTTAATA